TATATATATATATCCACTAATTTATATTCTATATCAATTTTCAGCAATTTAATTATTAAATTAAAGGCTCTTAATTAATACATAAATCTTGTCTATAATTTTTTTAAAAAAAAATTGAATACTATTTGATATTTTGTATCATTATTTCAAATCAATGTAAACAATATTTTTATAAATATTGTTAATTTGAAATAATGGAACAGAGTATCAATTTTAAATTTCTTAAAAACTTGTAAACTTAATTTATAAATTTAAAAGTTTTAATTCAAATGTTGAATTATTAAAATTTTATGTAAAATATAAATTATTGAATGAAGTAAGTATATTTAGACTTACTCTTGAAGTAAACAAATTCCTTCTCATAAATATAATTTTTAATTTTCAATAACTTTTTGTATAATATTAAATTAAATATGTTTAAAAAGTGTTACTAACATTTGATGTACACGTTGGTGTAAAAAGAAGAAAAAAAATTGATGTACATAAAAATCTGAATAAAAAAAAATACATGTAATCAATTATTTTCATATCACCTTCACGTTAACCTTCTTTACCGGTTCTTTTATACTCCAACCTAATTTATTATATTTTTTTTCAAAGAAGTATTTTTTGAAGATCACCTAAAATTCTAAAAAAAAAATACACGTTAAAATAAAACTAATTGATAACAATTAATAATTTCTTAATTTTGTGCAGGAACATGTTTTAAATGAAATTAAAAATATGTACAAAAAAATTAAAACTATTGAAGTGATAAAACAATAGATGAGAATAAATTTATGTTTTGATTTCTCATTGTATTCAGAACTTTATATTAATGGAAAGTTTATGATATTGTGATTCTCAGGAAAACAAAAAAAAAGGTCATATTTGCTTGAAATAAAGATTTGTCACTTTATATTGAAGGGTGCACTTTAAAAGATAAAATGTAATAATAATCGTTAATTAAAATATTTAATAATAAAAAATTATAATAAAATTAAATATATATATATATATATATAATAAAATATTAAATTAATTATAATATTTATTGTTGAATTTTTTTTATTTAAAGTAAAATTATCTCACTTTAGAGGAGACAAATGTTGAACTAAATTATTTATATTTTTGTATTTAAGTACATTTAACTTAATAAAATTGTAAAAATTAAATTATTTTAGTAATTAATTAATGATGCAATCAATTATAATAAAATAATTTTTTTTGGTTACCAAGAAATATTTAAATTTATTATAATATTCATTATTTATTTTTTAGTCAATTATTATTATTTAATTTTGTTCTCTAAAGTGAAATTACCTCACTTTGGAGGAGAAAATTCCTAAACTAAATTATTTCACATTTTTGTACTTAAGTACATTTAACTTAATAAAATTGTCAAAATTAAGTTACTTTAATAATTAATTAATGATACAATCAATTATAATAAACTGGATTTATTTTTTTTGGTTCATTACCATAAAGTATTTCTAATTGACATGAGAATAATCTCTTTTGGAGGTTTGACAAACATTAAATAAGTCCCTTCCTAATTTGAGTTTTTTGTATCGTAAGAGTCACGACTCGAATCCTAATCATTTGGTCAAGCGACATGAGTTTCTCATCACTCACATCAACCAAAGTTGGTAAATGAAATAAAATTTTATTTGAATAAATTTGCTAAAAAACAATTTTAAAATGTTTAATTTCATTTAAATACAACAAAATAATCAATTTTTATTTAGTAAATCAACTTAAAAAGAGAAAAAAAAATATTGAAAAATAATCATATGCTTTAAATTTCCAATTTTTTTAAAATCAACTTATTTAAAATTAAAAAAACTACTTACAAATTTAACTTGTTGTCTCAAACATAAAGCTTATTTTACAAACAATTTTTCTATAAAATACAGTTAAAATTTTAGATTATAAGCTTACCCAAACAACTTATAAGATATTTGAAAGAATTATATTTAGAAGAAATTATTATATTAACAATTTAAAAAGTTGAATAAGGTGAAATAAAATACATAAAATGAACTATTTAAAAGTTATAAGTATAACTAGGCTTGATCAACAAGCGAGTTCAAACAAATTCAGACCCAAAAAATCCAAACCACAAGCCACTAAAATTAACTTCATCTCCGTTCGAGTAAAATTTTGATTTGTTTAGGTTCAGTTTAACCAGATAGTCAATTGTTACGAGTGGATTGAATCAATTATGAACTTGATGTCCAAGCCACCCGCTGCCAACTTTCCACCAGTCCAACCATGACCTTGTAGAGTCCGATAGCAAAAGTTTGTGGTTCTCACAATGCAATGCTGATATGAGAGAACTACAAAATTAACATATCTAAGTTTTACAAGTCTGAGCTTGTTCCTTAAAATAATGAAAGTGTGAATTATGGAAGTTCCTTTAAAGAAAGACAGGTACTATGGAGCTCTTTAGGAATCATGGTATTAGCGAGGTTTTGACAAGAGCATCATAACTAATTACAACACCAAGCGAATACTTTGTATTTGAATTGGAGTTAGATGTGTTTTGTCAATTTCTCTATGAGAATTTCTTTGAGAAATAGAATTTGTTAAAATAGTGACTCACAGTGGATATATGGACGTTATTAATCAATTAGGTTCGAGCTCCAATGGGTCAAAAGAATTGGAATTGAACCCAACCTTATGAAACCATCCATTTCAACCCAAAATTTGTTTATCCGAATCAAACCATCTAAAAAAATATCCCCTAAGTATAACACGCAATTGAAACACTAAAAATAGTCATTAAAAAAGAGCTAGTGAAAGTGAAGCAATTGGGTGTTCTACAAACTAATAAAGTTTAAATATTTCTGATACTATTTAGGGGTATATTTTTTTAACTATGATATTAATACGAAATATTCATCACCAGGAGTAATGATTAATTTTCATCTAGAACTATGAGACATAAGTCACTATCACTTATATCAATCAATGCTAATAGTATCATTTTACTAACACTATCACCTAAAAAAAATTATAGATATAAGTTTTGTATAAAATTTATAATATCAATATTTATTAATTAGGAGAGATAAAATGAGTCAATTAAACCTAACTTTCCCATCACACCATTGACTTGCCCAAAATAATAGGTTCATGTATATATTTAAAAAGGGTTCACAATCATAAGAAACCTCGAAAAGTAATAGTTTAAGCTCCCAAAAAAAAATAAGTAGATTGGTTGACAACCTACTAAAATAATTAAAAATAAAAAATTTAAATACTCCTTTAAATTTTATAATTTTCAAAAAATTGACCTTTTAGTATTTATATTTGAAAAAATCAGTTTAGTCTTTATACATATATTTTTATTTCCTTTTACACAATTTTTAATTTGTTATTAGAACAAAATTAAATAAACTAAAAAACAAAATGATATGCATAAAAATTAAAATAAAATATTTTTAATAAGTACTAGGAAAAATAAGGTTTATAGAACTATAAAAACCAAGTAGATATTTAAACCAAATAAAATTTATGCAAGTATAATCTTGAATGAGATTAACTTACCAAATTGCATATAAATTATGCAAAGATGGAATAAATGGCAGGATGTTCTGTACCTCTGATGTTTGTTATTAGGCAATTAAGTACTAGAATGAAATCCGAAACCCAACCTGTTAATTGATGGACTAAACATGACAGGCCAGAATGAACCCAGCCGGTCTTCCAAAAGAAAAAACAGGTTGAACAAATTAGACGCCTTCCTCAAATACCCGTCTTCTCTATATACTCTAAATCATAGCCTTGCACGATACAGACGTTACAAACAAGCTCGTCAGATTCTGCCCAATCCTCATAATATACATGAGATTAAGACGAATTCTTTAAGAACGTGCTTTACATGATAAATCACGCTAGGGGATCTGTACAATGTATAAAGTAATATGCATAAATTCAGCTGTTGATATCACAGGTATATATAAAGCAACGACGCCTTTTTATTCATAAAAGTGCACTCGAACATCAACTGGTTATTTGCCTCTTATTCTTTTATCTGCATATATATATATTAACATGGGAGCTACATATCAAACTTTCTTGCAGCAAGGCTTCACTCTGCAGCACGTATTTTCCCTCGTTGAGAAATGAATAATCTGCTCGGTAATGTGCTTTTTACTTGAAAGCGGCCGTAAGGTTGTCCACGAACAGTAGAATGTTTCCGCAGCCTGTGCGGAAAAACCATTATTGCTAAGGTCTAGTAATTGCAAGTTCTGTGCCTTACCAATAGCAAATGAAAACTGTTGAGTGAAATGGCACTCGGAGGATGAATTTCTTTGACATGAACTGGCACAGCTGTCGTCAACTCCAGAAGCGGCAGCTTCTACTGGAATATCTTCACTATCAGCAACTTCCAGCTGATGGTCGGCCATTTCTAGAGAGCAAGGAACTTCTTGATTATCATCAACATTCATAGCATCAAGTTTCTGCTCCTGGTTTTGTGAGCAGCTTTTTACCGATAAATCATATTGTAGAGCAGAAACTTCCATTGGAACAGAATTATTAGCGAGATTAAGTTCCTCAAGGCTGCTGTTCTCTGATAAGAGAAAAGACATAATCATAAAATAGTAGCTGTAAAAAATGAACTAACAACCAGATATAATTTAATGCCTACCAGTCAGAGCCTCAATTATGCGGAGAATTCCAGCATGCCCAAGTTGACACTTTCTAAGGACCAAAACTTTGAGACAGCACTGTGGGTTTACGAGAAGAGAATATATAGCATTGACGCCCTGTAATCATTAGAGAATTTAAACAAATCATGGATAACAAAACTGGTTAAACTCACAAAAATATCACTAAAACGGCCACAGCTATACCTAAATCTATAAAGTCCAAACAGTCAACAGTGTTATAAGTATTACAGCTATAAATAGCAACACGCAAATAAAACCAGCCAAGGAAACATGCATTGCAATAACATTAACAATAGAAATCCAGTCACAGGCAACAAACCTCAGGCATGATAGGATTTCCTTCAAGGTTCAGCTCTAGGATGGAACAAAAAAAATTAACACTCATGTTTAAAACACAATTAGATGTTAGACCACAATATGATAGGTCAAGTTTCACAAGCTCTTCAGTCCCCTTGAGCAATGATTCTGCTAACTTTATCGCACCTTCCTGCAGAATAATGCCTCTAACGTCAGAAGATCAGGTGGGCTAACCATGCTAGAAAGAACCATAATGGTACAACAGCGTGGACACGCAGCAGGAGATAGATTTTACTCACGTTTCCAATTCCCGTGCCTCCAAGTATTAGTCCTGATAAAGTTAAGGTCCCTGCAAGCTTGCAAAGGGTATCGACAACTGGTTTGCCAAGTTTTAGACCTCTCATATTCAACTCAGAAAACCTATAATGGGAAAATTTAAGTTAAATTTATGTATGCTCTAAAAAAATACAAGTTATGTTAAGATGCTACATAGAGATAAATGGTGGCATTGGTACAATTGATTTTACCTTTTCAGAGTAGAAAGCTTGGACAGAAGATTAACTATAGCATTTCCAGATACAGGGCTGTTGTGTCCTGTCAAAGTTAGATTACCCATTATGCTTAAGATAAATTGTATCAGGAATTTCAAGAGAATGATAGATTCATCATACCTATACATAGATGGGCAAGTACAGATCTAGAGTCCAATGCATCGGCCATTTTTTGAATAGTTCTGGATGTGACACAACAGTTCTCTATATTCAAGCTACAAAGAGCTACACGACAGAATGTAAGTAAACAGAAATAGGGAGATACCTACAGAAGGAATCCACGTACAAGCATATTTGAGAGCCCATAAGTGCATCGTAGCATAAATTTGATATAACATATTTCACAGCTCACTGAGACCATGTATACTAGAAAGGAGAGAAGGTCTGAAGCATGGGTACTCTCAACCGGGTACATGACCCAGTACATGTTGGGTATTTGAGGGTACATACCAGGTACACCAAAAATATTCCGAAAAGGAAAAATGAATACTTATGTTGGGTACTTATGAGTACTATTTGGGTACATATCAAGCCTGTTCCCCTGATATGATAAAATAAAAAAGATTTTTTCTTTGACCTTACTTGCTATCATTCATGTTGTTATGTATTCTTATCTTCCCTGTGTAACACATGAGAAACTTTTTTTGCTGACCTCTTAAATCTATCACTATGAATTTATATAACTCATTTTAAATCAATATTGTGAATTATTTAAATATGAATGAGATTCATTTTAAAGACTGACTTTATTGAAGTTGCTACTCTTCCTCTGGATGAAATAAATTTAGAAACAATTATTTTCGCAGCATTGATGAAAAGAAATGATGATATTGAAACAATTAAAGTGTGAACATCGAGGTCATACTTAGGTGTTATAATTAAAGCTACAAAGTGGATAATCCGGCTCAGCCCACCATAGGTGGGGGCAATAAGTAGATCAATTGATCCTAGTTCACCTTTAGGTGAGCTTAAAAAAAATCAACCTAACCTAACTCATTATAAGTTGGTGAGTTAAACGAATTGTTTCACTTAAATAAAAACAAATATATAAAAAACAAAAATTATTGAATTTTATAAATAAATAAAAATACATATTATAATGTTATATTTTAAAATTACAATTATGTTAATAAATATTAAATAGGACAAATAAAATGTCAAAAAAAAATTATCATCTACAATCAACTTAATCAACTTATAAAATCAAAATTATCGTATAAAATATTCACAAATAATATTAAATTGACACTAATTATCATAATTCACTAGTATGTACAAAATTTAGTCAACGGTATAAATGAATAATCACATAAATTAACATTTAGAAACCTAAAAAATAAAAAGTATACTAGGTGAGCCAACCCAACTCATCACGAGTTAGATGTGATAAGTTAAGTTATAAGTGAGTCGAGCCAAATTTTTCTTATAACTAAAACAAGTCAAAAGTTTTTGGTCCAATCCAACTCAAACCCGTGATAGACCGGGTTGGCTCACAAATTTTGTCCTACTTTAACAACTCTAGTTATAATTAGGGGTGTAAATGACTAGAATGAAGTCAAGTTTGAACTATTATAGTATTCAACTCAATTAAACTTAATTGGGTTGGATACAGTTAATTAACTTTCTTTGGTCACCCAATTCAACTACAATTGGGTTGGGTTAATAGGTAATCGAGTTAAGCAATTAAAAAATTAATATATTTTAACTTTTGGCAACAAATAAAAAAAAAAATACTTAATTCAAGTTTTAATACATGATACAAAATATAATTATTACAACAATCACAAATGTGCTAATTAAGCAAACATTAAGTCACAAGCATAACAAATTTTGAATTACATAAAAAGTGGAATTAAATTATTAGTCTTGATCCATGCCTTTTTTAATTTAGTAAATCAATTCGTTCCTAGTTCCTACAATATTTGGTGAAAAAGTATAATTAAATATGTATCTAAATATTAAATTATTTATATAGAGTAAGCAAAATACTTGCTAAAAACTTTAAAGGCACCTGTCACCCTAACCTCCTCATATTCTGCAAAGCTCGTAATGTATGTGTCATTGTGTTAAGTGTTTTTAAATTTAATTTAGTAATTTACAATAGGTTGGGTTAGTTTTACCAAATAGCAAACCCCTAGACCTATTACACAACTCAATTATAATCAAATAACAAAAAAAATCCAACCCAACCTGATGATTCAATCTAACCTGCAAAAATGTAATTGGATAGGTTCAAGTTGTTTGGGTTTGCAAGTGGATTGTTACCCACTTACATCCCTTGTTATAATATTGATTGATGAACACTTACATGTTGGAGTTTTTTCTTATGAATTTTTTTTGTTGTTTTCAAGAATTTAACTCCTTTTATGTTATAAATTATGCTTATGTGTTTCTTTATTATGTATACAATTTAATCATGTTTATATATAGTTCTTTTTTTAATATATGTACATATTTTAAGATTTACATTAACATACACGTATCTAGGATTTTTGAAAAATCCCTTATCCTGTACCCATAACTCGGCAGAGGTACCGTACTCATTCGTGCAACGTATGAGAGAAGGGCAGGACATGGCAATCAGCATTCTTCAAGAGATAATAAAAACACTATTAAAATTGGGAGAGCTTCAAGTCATGCAGCTTACCTGTACAGTTTTTTAAGATTGTTGAAAGATAAGATCCACATGCATCGGTAAGACGGTTTCCAGAAATGTTAAGCACTTCTAGTCGAGCAAACAGCAGTGAACATTCACAAATCTGACATGAACAAGCAAAGTTAATACATAGCAAATTTGAGTTGGGTAAAATGGAATCCTAGTGGTGCAAAAAGAGAAAAGTATTTTTTATCCTATTAATCAAGAACTGTATAAATAGATTATCCTTGTGAAAAACTAAATAGATTCTGATTTGAGAATTATTGAAAAATGGCCTTTCGCGGGGAAAAGGCAGGTGAACTTAGCAGATATTTATGGTGATTTTAGGCCTAGTAATTCATTTTCAGAAAACATCACAAATAACATCAAGTGTATGCGTCGACTTTATTTATGAGTTCAATTTTTCGAGATATATTTATTTAATAGAAGTTATAAAGCAAGCATCATTTTAGACCCTCATACATAAAAAACAGATTTATAACAAGAGCCAAAGTTAGAAACGAGGGACAAGGGGAAGGTAAACAAGCAAAGACCAAAAGGATTGCAAGTAGTGCTATACCTGAAACAATGTTGTCGGGCCAAATCGATTGCAATGCAAATCCAGAGTTAAGCCACCATAAGATTGGCCTGATGCTGTGAATACCTTTTGAAGTTTCTCGATTGTTCCATTTCCTAAAATATTATCAACTCAATAAGAGGCTAAAATTTTACAATAGATTCTCCCATTTATATTTCATCTATTTTGGTTCTTTTTATGGTTTTAGTATTCAAATCATTCACTAGTCATCAACAAATTGCCAGACATAACCAATGAAATTAGAGACTTGAGAACCAAAAAAAATATCTCCTTTTGAGGGAACATGAGAAATGAAAAGGCAACTACTACATAATTTGCAGACAAGACAAACACAGTAGAATACAGCAAAAAATATTAAACCATAAAAAATAAAAATAAAATAAAATAAAGTACCTAACAAATTGTGAGAGAGGTCAAGCATTGCAAATGACTTTTGGGAATGAAGTGCATTTATCAACGGCGTAATAGACAAATCTTGCAGGTCACAGTCAGACACAACAATTTCGTCATCTGAAACCTGATGACAATAATAAGCCAAAAGCAATTGTAAGAAAAAAGATATCAATCCAACAACTGGAAATGAGAAGCATCTGTCACTGCAGTGGCGATGAAAGAATTGATACGGCTAAGATCCTTCTTACCTCTAAATTGTAAAGCTTCTTCAGCACCTTGATGTTTGGTACCTCAGACAACTCCTTGCAGCAGTCTACATAACTTTTTATCAGGCGCTTGTGAATCCATCCTGTAAAGAATAAAAATTCATTTGCGTGTCTAACTTGGAGATAGAGTTGAAAGCTAAAAATTGATGTGAAATACAGCTCCAATACAGCATAAGCCTATAACTGTCTATTTTCCAAATGATTAATACATCTTCGCTGTCAACCCCCTTTGCTTATTGCTTACATAAATCGCAATTTGCAAGATCAATGAATATCAAGTGATGAGTCAAATTAATCTTTATCTATAGATAACAACCATCACTGAATGAACAAAAAGAATCAGAATCACATACCATCAACAGAAGCTTCAACCATGTCATCTCCCAGAACTTCCTTAAGATGTTCAACAGTTTCCAGGGATTCTAGATCTCTTCCGGCACATTTTACGTGCTCAATAATGGGCAACAGACCTATTTATAAATTTGTAAGTACATTTAAGTGCATTCGGCAGAGAAAAAAAAAATAATGGAAGAAAAACTGTAATAAATAAATGAATAAAAAATTAGATATAAGATGGAAGTTGATAAAACTGAAACCTAATAGTCTAATACTGAAGAATGGAAACAGTTGCTTAATAGTTAGATATTGTTTTCACATGTTAGACACCAGTTTCTGTTCTATGCAATATAAATGATTCTTGTGCCTATTGCTGGTGTTGGGAAAAGTTTTCACCAGATCCGTTACAGCTCTTATGCAGTACAAGAATTTGTCGTAAACAGGTTAGAAGCAACCAGTTTATATATAGCCACATTTTTTTATCATCCATTTAGACCTTGCAGGGTGACAATGCATGTCTCAAGCAGTGTCACATGTTTGGGGCCTTTATCCAAGCCTCATTGTTACAGCACAAACTATGATACATACTCCGTAGGAAGCTTAAAATCATGTAAAACATAAGTACACAACGGTCAGCACATAAACAAACTTATTCATGCTGTGTCACTTGGGGACACATCTACCCTATCAAAATATCTGAGGTAGGCCAACAAATTACTGCAACAAAACTAGTTAATCTTAAATCTTGTTAGAAGCATTCATAATAAAATTCTCATCTAGCTAGGAACTAGGGAAAAGTTCAGGCATGTGCCAATCAAAGAAAACAAGAATTATCAGTTAGGAAAACTTATTAAACATGCATTTTCACATCAGGAAGAATTAACCGATCCATGTTGAAAATAAAGGTTAATGCATGTCTAAAGAATACATAATGTTAAACAAGAAGTTATCCGTAAATCCTGGGCTTCAATTAATTTTTCCCTAATTGGGATTTTTGCCAGAGTGGCACCAATCTTTTATTTTATTATAACAACGAGCATCTGTCACCATATTTATACGCAGAGCCAGAATACACCAAACTCACTTTCTTCTTCGGTTTTATCCAATTCATACCAAATTAATTTTAAAGTCAAATGGGAGATCTTCTATGCTAATATTAACCGACAGAAAACACTTGAAGTAGGAACTACCTACCCTCTGATCTCTTTTCAGTTGGAAATTGTAGATAATATGAGCATGCAACCGCGGCCTTCAAAGAGTCAATGTTCAACTGATCACCAGTGGTACACAAGGTTGCTTCTACTTGTATTAGATCATTCCCAATCCGGCATGTAATATATTGCTGGTGCTAGAAAATATAAAGGAGGCAGCAGTTAGAAAAATATCCATTACATAAGCATGACAATTGGCAAAGCATGAATCGCAAATATATTCATCATAACAGTTGAACAGAACTCACCTCGTTTTGGGAATGATGCAATATGGCATGAGCAATATCATTTTGTTTGCCAGAGACATCTGTGTTACATTTAGAACCACTAGGAAAATCAGCTTCAGCAACTATATCATTGCTCAAAGACCTGGATTGTCTGCCAATTTTACTCGCTGTATGTGGACTCCAGCATTTGAAAGAACTACTACTTTCTTCAACATTAATTGCACTCTTGGATCCATACTCTGAGATAACCTGCCATCCCAAAAACCAGAAAGGCTACGCATTCACATGGTGATACTTGAGCAAACCTCACACCACAACCAAGTGGAGATTTCTTTACCTGAATTTTACAAGGACTGGCTTTACTCTTAACTGCAATCAGATAAGTATCTATCAGAACATAATTTTGGTATAAGGGAATCTTTGGGTCATAGCAAAGCAAGTAACAAACAAATCATACTTGCATCATAAGTGGGCAAGTCCTCTACCAAGCAATCATGATCCTTTCTGCTTGAACACTCCACATTGTCATCATCATCATCATCAGAAAGAATTACACGGACACGTTTACGACCAACAACTGTCTGATGATCATTGGTTTGAATGTTCAGACTCCTGGGTGATTGCTCATCTGGCTTGGTAGAGTTTGTAAGACTTTCTTTGTGGCCTGCTTTCTTTTTGGATGAGCCTTTTATGGACTGATAGAGTGACATAAGAGATGCATCATCTTTCAATTCTTCTCCAGTAGTCAGAGATTTTGATCGAGAATTTGTCTTTGCAGAGCAAAAATCATCAGACCCACTATTTGACAGATAATCATCTGCTTCAGTATCAGTTTCAGAGCAACAATCCTCTTGCATACTTTTAGCTTCTGCCTCTTTTTCTTCCGACTTCTTCAGCTTATCAATTAGAAGCTTCAACCTCCTATAAAGGATCACAATTGATCAGCATTAATATTACGTGTCCATCAAAAGGACCCATGATAATGAAAATAGTAAAAGTGTAAAACGGATTCAGTTTGTAGAATCAAGATTTTGGCCTATAAAGATTTGAATACTAACAAAAATGTAACAAATGGATGTATAAAGAAACAAACTTCCATGAAACAGTTACCTGGTCTCATTCTCGTCATCAAATCTTAGCATGTTGCTATAATGCATATTTTCCAAGGCAGAGAGTTGCACATCAGGAAGGTCTGCATCAACAGCAATACTGCAATATGATGCAATCAAATCAATGCAGTTCATATAAGACCATCAAAAGGATGCCAACATGGATGTATTTTTTAAGAAAGTCCAATCAAGGATGAGTCATATTTGTAGGTGGCCAAGTTTCATTTAGTATTGGCGGCAACTGCAAGAAGCACTTATCGGCACATAAACCAAGTAAATGACTTTTTAACAGCCATTCAAGCAACATATTTATCAAAGCAACAATTTCTGAAATTTTGTAAAGAAACTAGTATGGCAGGGTCATCAACACAGCAAGGAATGGAAAGTACATGATGAGAAAAATCTTATTCTAGTAATTTTCTTTCATAATTCACAAAGGTACACCCAACAACATACCACATATTCAGTAGAATCAGTACACACTACACAATTCATGACTTCATGTGTCTTATGCAACCAAGTTACATCAAGCATGAGGAAACTGTTCTGTTCAACAAATTAAGCTACACATAGGAGATTCTATTATAATTACAAACTATTTCTTGTTCCATAAGTTCTCTAATTTCAAGAAGTAAAATCATCCAGTAATGTTAAATATTGGATATTATTATTACCTGTAGCTATCATGAAATGCATCCAATGCTTCTCTCCAATTTTCAGTAGAATCCAAAACATTTCCAATATTAATTTTCACCAGTGCTTGCCCCTATAATCATTGTAGGCAAAGTATAAGAATCAACCAATACATACACACAAACAAACAAACTATTTTATCTACATTTATCTTTGGATACAAAGTAACCTAGCACATTGACATGCATACAGAAATTTAAGTGTACCACCAGGAATTGAAGCATCATACACACAGACTTAATTTCTGTGTGTTGACTCTTGAGTTATCTTTTAGTTAGATTGTTGTATTACTTGAATTCTCTAGACACTTACATTGCACCTATTTTGAAGTGTTCATGTTTCATACCAAGCAACTAAGTCTCATGTTTTCATTTTACTTGTGTATGGATGCATTCAAAGTTACTTTCTCTTGATTTTGTATATAAATTATAGGATAAATCATATAGATTTTGAAGATTGAATTGATGATTAATGGCATGGAGTTTTTAGACCATCATTTTTCAATAAACTCAGAGTAGGCTTTGTTCAGCTTAATTCTAAAAAAATAATCAGTTAGTTTTCAAGAGCTCTCTCAGGAAGCCAAAGGAACAAGTGACTTTTTTCTGCAGAATAAGTTGAATCAAACATGCATTCATATTACCAATTATTTCAAATAATCATAGATGTTATTTCTAAATTCAAATTATCTTATATTGAATAAAGTTAGGGTCAAAAGGAAAAAACAAAAAACAAAGTGTTAATTTTATGTCAAAGAGTAAAGAAAAAATTACCTCTAAGTTACCAATTGCTTTGTACATTTCCCTGCTCTTTTTGTACCATTTGATTGCCTTGTTGAATTTTCTAAGCTTCTGGTATGACTCAGCAACATCCAAATATGAATCACCCAACCTCTGTCTATCACAGAGTTCAGCTGCTATTTTCTTCTTCTCCTTTGCAAATTCACAATGCTAAACAAAACATTGTTTAGTAACAAATGTCACACTTTAGGAATTAATAAACATACCATAGCTTCAAAAGGTATCTTCATTCATCACACAATACTAATAGGTCATTAAATTATCAAATATGGAGGAAAATATCATATGATTACATCTACAAGCCTGAGAGAAATACATGCACAATGATTCATGATTTAAGCAGTGTGATACCTTATTTTTAGTGCTGCAACAATCACAACTCACAAACTTCAATATATTACTGAACAAAGTCTCACCTTTTTTTTAGTAAATCATGAAAGGTTTTTCAATAGGATAAAATGCTCAAATGAAACAAACCATTCTTAAAACAACACTAATGAATCTGTGCTTCATCCATAAGCAACCATGAGCAGTGTACATCAGTTTCTGAAAGCAACATTAGTATACCAAACGAACAAGACTTCTTTACATGTGGCAAAAAATCAGATGAATAAATAGTTATGACTGAACAAAGCTATGCAGGTCAGGTTAGGCATTTGTTTCCTAAATATGATAACTAAAAACTGAAGATACTACAAAAAACACTCTTCTCTTAGACAAACCCCTTTGGTGTAGTGAACATAAATATTGGAAACATCATGAATTACCTCATCAATCTTGTACACTGCAGAATTTCCACGCAAATAACCATTACAAGACAGATGGAATTCAGTTAAAAGAATCATGATAAACAAACACAGAGATAGAACCAATACCTTCTCCCACGCAAAGATCATCCTTGCTTTCTCAACAAGGCGTTCAAGAACCACATTCTGCTGCAGCAAGCATTTGCGCTCATGTGGCGTCCCTCTGGCAGAGGCTATATCTCTTTTGAGCTTCTTAAGGCTCTGTTCATCTTTCTTTATATCAGCCATTACCTTGACAGCTTCTCTCACAGTTTCAATATTCTGCTCAATTTGTCTAACCAAAGCATCCTCATCCTCCAAGCTCTTCGCCAAACCAAGCGCCTTCTCATAATAAGCCCTTGCATCTTCGTATTTCTGAGTCCTGTAATGCACTTCTCCAAGATTAATATAGCCCTTGGCTTCCCCTTGAATATGTCCAATTCTGTTACAAATCATAATATCCCTCTTAATGTGTTTCCTAGCTTCATCCCAAACCCTAAGTTCCATATACACATTGCCAAGGTTGTGGTGGAGTCTACTACGGCCGTCATCGTATTCACCGATCTCCTCTTCATCACAAATATCCAATCCTCTGGTCAAGATCTTCCGCGCCTCATGCAAGTTGTCGAGATCCATCTCCAGCATGCCAATGTTGTTGTGCGCGTCGACGTACTCCTTGAGGAAAGAAGACTTGGCATTCGGAGGATTCTCCTTGAGACTCACTGCGAGATCCATCGCGCACTTGAAGTACTTCTTAGCGTTGCGAATCGAGTTGTGGTCGTGTTCCGATCGCGAGAACAGTTCGTGGTATGTTCGGCCGAGCTGCGTGCTCGCCCTCTGCTGCTCGACGACGTCGTTGGCGTCCCTCGCAAGCTCCAGGTGCTTTTTCTGCGACCGAGGAAAGGCTTAGTGTTGAAAAGGAAAGCATAGGTTAGGGTTGTGGTTAGGTTTAGGGTTTAGGAAGGAGGAGGAACTGACCTGGTAAATTAGGGCGTCGGAGAAGTGTTCGAGACGGAGGTAGATTTCGCCGAGGGATTGGCAGGTTGGGAGCAAGTGCTTCTCAGGTAAATGTTTGAGCGAAATTTCGTAATCGATTCGAAGCCATTTGAGAGCCTCGACGTACTCTCCTCGGTTTTTCAGAATGTCGCCGATGACGTTGGCCCACCGCGCCTCCTCCCGGTGGTTTCCCTCGGCCTTGGCGTTCCGGTAAGCAGCTTTGGCCGCCCTAAGCTCCGCGTCCATCTGGAGACGACAGAAAGGTGTCGTGGTGAGTTCTCTGAAACTTTGTTCTCTTCTTTGCAACTTGTAAGGTGCAAAGGCTAAGGGAAATGTTACTTACGCCTGCGCCGTCTCTTCAAAAGGTTCTAATGAAATTCCTGTGTCCCGCCAAAAAACACTTTCGTCTTCTTTTCCTCTTTCTTTGGTTTTCCTTTTTTTTTTTTTTACTATTATTATAATTAAAAATTAGACACTTAGCTATAATAATAATACTAAATAAATAAATAAATATTAAAAAACACTTTGTTCCTTGTATATGTAGTTTAATTATTTTAATTAAAAATAAAATATGGTTAATAGATGAAAATAAATGAAGAGTGATTTTTAAAATTAATTGAAGGAAAAGTTTATTTTAAAAAAATATATATATCAAATATTAATATTTACATGAAATATGGTACCAAAGATTTTTTCTTTTAGTTAAATAATGAGTAGTTTTTTTTAGTGTAAAAATATGTTTGTGATAGTTAATTAAAAGGTAAAATTAGAAACAAATTATGGATATCGAATGGTGATACTTGTTTAATTATTGGTAAGTATATAATATAGTCTACCATATGAGCACGTGGTAAGATTGTTCCAACTTAACTCATGGTCTGAAATTCAAATTTTAGATATACAATTGTTGTTGTGTTAAATATTTAAATGAATAACTATGCAATTATGTTAAATATTAAGAGATGATTTTATTGTTCATAACGACCTTATTTGCCTCAAACAAACTTGTCTTTCACAAAGATATGTGTAGTCTATATTAAAAGAATTATAGATTAGTAGTAGCTAAAAAACACTTTATGTCTTGTATATGCAGTTGTTGTGCAAATTTTGCAAGTTTATATATGTTATAAAGTGATAAAATATTGAATTCACGGGGATTGTGTATTGGCTTGTGCATTATTTAATTGAAATTGGATAAAAAATGGAACTTTCGGATTTAAAATACGAAAATATGATTTAAAAAAGATAAAATATGAGAAAATTTGAAATGATTACGTGAACAAGATAAAAAAAAATATATTTTAAAGATAATTGTAGGAATATAAAATCGGAAATTTTGAATAAGCAAAATAACAAAAATAGATGTTTGATAATATTTAAAAAGTATTTCATAATTAAGGTTTGAACAATTTTTTTTTATTTATTTAATAATTTTAATCAACGTTTTTACTATATATATATTTGAATGTGAATAACTATTCCTCATTCCCTTTCAAAATACAAAGGTGTATCTAATTGAATTAACTTTTATTATTGTGGTAGTTATGTTCAAATAATTTCATTGCATTTGTATGTTAATTCATTTGATTGATTAAACCTATTTTTGTGATTTAAAACCTAAGTCACTCCTTAAGGTTATGATATTTAGATTCATTAATAATCTTTTCCCTATAATATTGAAGATTATGAAAAATGTCAAAAAAAAAAATGTTTCGCATAAATAAATTACTAAGAAATTGGATCAATAGGAGAAAATGATAAAATGATCAAATAATTAAATTAAACAAAAAGGTTCTAAAGAGTTAAGCCTTGACTCCAAAATAAAACAAGACTACCCATAGGTTTTGAGTTCATATCAGGTTTGGACATTTACTTGCTTATGTAAGTGGTTTGAACATCTAAACTAAGACAATCTTGTCATCCAAGTTGTTAATTAAGTCATGTGACATTTAATAGTGACATTTCAACAACTTGCAGAATAGTAATCATTAGTTAATTAATTGTACTATTTAGGTTATGTAGTTTGAGTTAACTTAAATTAATCCAAGTTATTCTTTAATTAATTTAAATTATTTTTAAACTATGTTCAACTTAATTTGCTCCATAAGCTTTTAGACAATTATCTAATATTTGTTAAAGTATGAGATAGCTAACAATGGTTACACTTAACCATAATTAGTATAGTTTGCAACATAAGCCAACCAAATCTTATATATTGTTTCCTACATTTAATGTGTGAATTACTTTGAGATGTATGAGTGAACACCTTTAAATTTTTCTCTTTTAAAGTCTTAATTTCTTCCTTAGGGAATTTTTTCTTTGATCTTTTATCAAAAAATGATTTTTTTATGTCAAGATCCCCACCTCTTGTTTGTCTTTCTCTCAAGGAAAGTGGCGCACCATCTTCTTACTTCTCCCACCAATTTGTGATTTTCTAAAGCTTGTTCCATCAATGGATGAAGATTGAGCACATGGAGACTAGTGGAAGGATTCATCAATCATTCTCCAATGGTTTTCAAGATTTTTTTTTTCACTCCTTTAAGGGTTCGTGATGGTCATGCATGCTCCGATTGTCCATGTGAGTAATCACTTTTTGCATCCAAATTTAACCACGTCAACACATGCACAAATAAAAATACCCACAATGTAACAAGTTTGATGAAAACAATAAATATGCAATAAAAGGAACAAAATTTAATAGTCAAACAATAATTTATACAAACAAATCAAACTATGACGCTCCCTAAATATCAACTAAATGTAATGCATTATAGTTAAAATTTTCAATTAAAAATGATAAAAAAAAATAATTGCAATTGAGAGATGATTTTGAGAAAAATACAAAATTATTTTTTAAAACAATATATATACAACAAATATAAGTAAAAAGATGTGAAAGTACCATTTATATATAAATATTTTGTATTGTTGTTGATATTTAGAGTTTAGAGTTTATGGTTATATCTTAGAAATATCGATTATGTACCAACAATATTAATCAATCACAATTTTATTATATATGACTTTTAAGTATATTCTTTTTAAATCAACAAAATTTATTACATACAGCCAAAAGGTTACTTATTGATCATAATCTTATTACGTATGTCAGCTTAAAAGGATAACTCATGAAAACAACAAAATAAAAAAGTATGTTTCCGATCAACAAAAATAAAAGTATGGAGTCATTCAAGTAGAGCCAAGCAGGAAAATAAATTTATTATTGTATATTATAGTCTTCTCAAAGGAAAAAAAAAAAAAAAAACTCTTTAAATTTGAAATGATTTTAATATTTTTTATTCTTTGAAAAGTCACGAGAATGAGACCCCCTAAAACTATAACGTATAGGTTAGCACCCATCGAGCTCCCATCATATTAAAAGTTACTTGCAAAATTTTTTTACCATTTAGTAAACATTAATTACGAATTTATTTTTGTAAGAAAATCTGCAAGAAATAAAATAAAATTCTTACAATATTTTCTACAAATTTTTACCATGAAAAAAATTTCTATAATTATTAAAATTATAGTTTTAAGTCCCACATCGATTGAAAATAAAATAATTAAAGAGTATATAAGTTGAGCCAACACTTATCTTACAAGTTGATTTGTATGGTTGAGTATTAGGCTTATAATCTACAATCTTAGAATTTAAAAGATTATGTTGGAGGCATGGAACAAATACTTCGGATGAATTCATTGTGAGCATTTGAAAGTTGAAAAATTATTGATAGAATTTGTAGTAATTTCTTTAATTTTTTTCATAAAAAATATTCCTGCAGAATTTCTTGCGAAAAAATTCACAGGAAACTTTCCTGCAAAATTTAAAATTCGCAAAAATATATTATCCACGAAGGTATTATCTGCAGATAAAATTTCACAAAAAATTTTAGTTAAGGAATTAGTTACTTCTAAAATCAACTATTCTATTTTATTTATAGTGATGGTTTCATCGAGTAATTAATAATATTTCTTTTGTGTTGATAGAGATTTTAATATAATTATGAAATTTAAAATCTATCGGCAGGATGTTGTATAAATTTAAAGATATTATCTTTATTTCAATAATTTATTTTTGCTTTAGAATGCAATTATGTCTATAAGTAAAAGTTCTTATGAGAAAAATCACTGAGTCTTAGACAAAGTAAGAGACTTATTTCCTCCAAAACAAGGCTAATACGCCGTCCTTTTAAAGGATCTTTAACTACCATATCATACAGGCTAACGACTGATGGCCTCCCTAATTCTTTTGATCTTCAAAACAAAATTAATTAAGTTCACATAGAAACGCATTATTTGAAAAAGGTGCTCATGAAAGAAAAACTAGCTAGTGTACTTCTCTGAACATGCATTATAGTTTTTGACCAGGGAGCTTGTGTTCTTTGCTTTATACATATGTTGCTATTAAATGATTGCAGAGCTAAATTATTTGTGATCAATACCTTGATTCTCAGATTCTATACTTTCAACCAAACACATTTGTTCAAGTTTGTTTGTTTAATTTGTGATAGTTAATTATTATTATAATTATGTCGTGCATGCACGTTATATTCCACAACCACAACTTCAGAAAAATTAAGCACAATTAAACAATATTACAATCACTTAATTTATTTCAGAAATATAAATATTGCCGGCAGCTAGGAAAACTGATCAAAAGCTAGAATCTCCAAGAGCTTTATTAATTATTTATGGAGCATGAGAAGTCAACTAATTCTAAGAAACAAAAAATGTTATTATAATTTAAATCGATACCGAGAGAGAGACCACTCAAAACCCTCTTTATTGTGTATAAATATCAACCACTTGGATAATCATCATAATATGCAATTGCATATAGTACTTCAAGTTTCTGATACATGATCGTCGATCCCTACATTTTACAAAACACGTACCATTTCCAAGAAGCAGACAAATTAAAGTAAAAGAAGATGAATCAAACGTTGGAAAGGATGCATGAGGTGTAACTTGGCTTCACTTTGAATGCAACCATGATGGATAAGCCCAAAATCTTGATCAAGAAGAGTTCACAAAAAGAAAAGCATATTTTTGTGCATCCACAACCTTTGAGAAAACCTTCCACACCTTCAAATAATGTTAACAGTTTGCACACTCTACCCTTACTTCAACCTTCTTTCAAATTCTTGGCCATCACTCATCCAAATTACATCGTACGAAATTTTAAAATGTTTATATTTTTTTAATAAATTTATTATAAAATAATTATTTAATTTAATTTTTTATAATTTAAATTAATTTTTTAATCGATTCCGAATAGATTTCGGAATTTGAGTTCGGAGGACGTAGAAAATTTCAAACTAAAGAGAGATGGAATCCATGAGATCAAACATTGTGCAGAATTCCATGCATCGCTCTGATCTGAATGTTTGGGACCCAAATGGGCCAAGTGCCTAAAGTGTAATCCGCAAAAACTTCCCAATTCTTAGCCTTTAAGCAAAAATTTTGACCAAAAACTGTCCATATCATCTTTCCTCGATTACGATCACAAAGTAAGAAATTGTTTGAATATAAATATGACATTGTTTTTATCCTTTGAAAAATTAAAGAAC